CCAAAAGTTCGTTAAATCTCCCAGCCAACTATTGCTGCACTGCCTGCTTCAGATGTATGAAATTGTCTCAGTACCAACCAGAACATGAAACCGATACGAATGAATCTAAAGGCACAAAGTAACAGACTCAAATTCATACATCTGAAGCAGGCAGTGCGGCAATAGTTGGCTGGAAGAGTTAACGAACTTTTGGGCGAGACTATACAAAGAATAGTTCCTCTGGGTGATGTGATATAGTTCAGCCATGCAGCTGACTCACATCGGGGAAGGGAGGGTGGGAGCACTGCAGTTACATTTACAGCTCACTGCCTCCACACACAAATGTTCACTTCCCACACATACATACCCATGATCTTAACTTTTCTTATTTTATAGTTTAATGTTATATTTTCTTTACTTCTAAACCACATTAGAGTACAGGTTGTACCTCTCTAGTCCGGCATTCTGTGGTCCGGAACGATTTTAGTTTGTCCAAGAGGTAGATAGGCAGCTTTTTTTTTTTTTTTTGAATTATTATTACAGGAGTATTAAATTTTTGCCCCTCGGGCCCCAATGTAGGTCAGTGACCTATGCCCGGGTGGGCTAATCCCCTTAAAAAAAAAATAAAAAAGCCGCGGGAAATTAAGGTTTGTTTACATCCAGCAGTTCGGCTGCTCTCTCTCTCTCTCTCTGCTTGTCTATACAGAGTACAACATTTAACCCTTCAATATATATGAGCAGTAAATAAGTGTTGCTTTCATATTCTTATGTAGAGTAATGACGATATGTTATCACGTGCGCACTTACATACGCGCAGTCTCACTTTTCTTTTACCATTAATGGTTAGCTACTTATATTGTTCCATTTATTAACATTAAATAACATTACTGGTACTTCAAACAACCATATTATTTTTTTTACATTAATTTTACTACAGCTAAAATCAGGGTCTTATTTTCTTCAGTTTAATATGTAGAACCAATCAGTCACTGGTTTCGTAAACTTTAACATAAACAATGCCGGCAGCCGTCTCGTCTCCTCTAATATTCCATGTATTATTAATAAATTGTATTGTTAATTTTGCACACACATACATATATTCAATAAAAACAAATTCAGAAACATTAATTAAAATATATATGAACAGTAAATAAGTGTTGCTTTCATATTCTTATGTAAAGTAATGACGATATGTTTTCACGTGTGTGCATGCGCACTTACATACGCGATCTCTCTTTTTTCTTTACCATTATCGTTAGTTACTTCTATTGTTCCATTTATTAACATTAAATAACATTACTTAAAACAATCATATTAATTTTACTACAGCTACAACCAAGGTCTTATTTTCTTCAGTTTTATGTAGAACCAGTCAGTCACTGGCTTTGTAATCAATGAAAACAATGCTGTGTAATTTCCTCGTGTGTTTTAATATTCTACGTATTATTAATGAATTGTATTGCTCATTTTGCACACATAAACATTAATTCAATAAAAAAGACATTCAGTAATAAACAATAATGAATCTTTTGTACATAAGAGAAATGACGCTGTTTACACGATTATGCACGTCGTCTGCACGTTGGCGGGCTGTTCAAACCCGTCGAAATTCAAGTTTCCGCCGTCAAAATTTTTATTTATTTATTTTTTTGTGTGTTCCAATAAAATACGTTAAGAATTAAAAACTCGCGAAATTTGAGAAGCTACTATACGACATTTAACCCTTCAATATGTCTTCAAAGAGACCATGATGCAGAGAAAGTGGTGCTAGCGCTTCCAAGCATAAGCACAAGTCACTATCTATCCACGAAAAGGGTAAATTTCCATGGTCCGGCAATTTCCATGGTCCGGCACCGGTCAGGTCCCGAGGTTGCCGGACTAGAGAGGTACTACCGGTTGACAATCCTTTATCCGGAATTCTGAAAACCTTAAGTTTTTTTGCGGTGCATCACTCGTGTGATATCGAACATGACTTGGACCTGACGCTACCGGGCGCTTGACCCACGCCGGGCAGTGGGTGTGAGTGAGGCTTCACTTGTGTCTCGGTGTTGCTACTAGTCACACATTTGTGTCTGCTGTTCTTATATTTTATGTAATTTTGTTTAATTTCACTGAAAATGACAAAAAGAGCTTCAGATACCCCAATGGATAACAGTGAGAAGAAAAGGAAGTGTCTCTCATTATCGATAGCACAGAAAGTGAAGTTGTTACAGAAGCTTGATCGTGGTGTACCTGTGCGGCATCTTACTGAAAAATATGGTGTGGGAACTACCACCCTATATGACTAAAGAAACGGAAAGACAAGTTGTTGAAGTTTTACACTGACATTGATGACCCAAAAATAATGAAAAACAGAAAAACATTGCATAGGGCAAAAAATTAAGATCTTGACCGCATGCTGATTGAGTGGATTCGACAACGAAGAAGTGAACGTTATGCCACTGACTGGTTTGATGGTCATGAAACAAGCTAGAATATACCAAGAAGAAATGAACATTGATGGTGAGTGTGAATATTCACAAGGTTGACTGCAGAAATTTAAGAAGCGTCATGGTATAAATTATCTGAAAATCTGTGGTGAAAAGGCTTCTGCTGATCATGAAGCAGCTGAAAATTACATTGATGAATTTGCTAAAATTATATCTGATGAAAATCTTAGCTCTGAACAAATTTACAATGCTGATGAAACAGCTCTGTATTGGTGCTACATCCCTAGAAAAACGTTAACAACGGCTGATGAGAGAGCACCAACAGGTGTTAAGGATGCTAAGGACAGGTTGACTTTTCTTGGGTGTGCCAATGCTGCAGGCGCACACAAGTTGGCAGTGATTGGGAAAAGACAACGACCAAGATGTCTGAATGGTGTACACAATTTACCTGTGCATTATTATGCCAACAAGAAAGCATGGGCAACCAGAGAACTATTTTCTGACTGGTTCAATGACCACTTTGTACCAGCAGCACGAGCTCATTGCAGGGAAGCTGGATTGGAAGCAAACTGTAAAATTCTATTGTTACTTGACAACTGCTCTGCACATCCTCCTGCTGAACCTCTTGTGAAAAGTAATTTTTTGGCATTTACTTTCCCCCCAATGTGACGTCTTTGATACGGCCTTGTGACCAAGGAATTTTACACTCCATGAAGAGCAAATATAAAGATTTTTTTTTAACTGCATACTTGATGCAGTCAACAGAGGCGTAGGAATCCAAAGCTTCACGAAAGAGTTCAATGTTAAGGATGCCATTTATTCAGTTTCTAATGCTTGGAATGCTGTTGATAAACCAACATTAACAAATGCTTGGCACATACTTTGGCCTACAACGATGTTTGATGTAAATGAAGATGCAGATGAAGACATTGAAGGATTTCGTGTCACTAAGGAAAAGATGATGATATCAAACCTCCTTACTTACGCCAAAGGTTTATCATCCGAAAGTGTAAATAAGTTGGAGGAAGCCGACATTGAAGAAGTGCTGAACATTGACAATGATACACCTGTTGTGCATTCGTTGAGTGATAGGGAAATAGCTGAAATGGTGCTAAATAAAGATAAGCATGAGGATAGTAGTGATGATGATGATGAAATTGTGAACACAGGTGAAAAAGTCTCCATATACGATGTGGTGAAAACATGTTATCAGTTAATTACTGCCCTTGAACAACGTGCATTTATCAGAGCACGAGATTATGGCAGTTTATTCAATTCAAGAGATACTGCTTAGGCAGAAACCACTGTTAATGAGACAGATGACACTGGAAGAAGCCTTTAAAAAGGCCATCTGTCCTAGAGTCGAGTCATCACTTGAGAGTCCTGTTCCTAGCCCATCTTCAGATGTCCAACTCCTACTTGATGATGACGATGACAACACTGATGTGTCCTCTTCATGATAAGCAAGCCAGGTGTAATGTACCTTTACTGTATCTGTTTGAAGTTTTCCTTACAAATAAATTGTACTAGAGTATTTATGGATTATATTTATCCCACAATTTCATTTATGCCAAATCTAACTGAACTGAACCAAAACTAACATAACCTAACCAATCCGAAAAATTCCGAAAACCGAAATACGTCTGGCCCCAAGGATTTCGAATAAGGGATTGTCAACCTGTATTGTAATGATTTTTTTTTTTCAAACAAGCACAGATAAGTGATAAACACATTGAGCTAGAGAGAAATGCTGGGTGGGTTGGATCATGTAAGAGCGAGACCCAAATGTAAGGTCGCACGTGTTGTGCTATTGCGAGATTGCGTCATCATATTTCGGAATATTGGGTTATTAAAAAAATATTTATGTAAAAAATAAATTAGTTGAATATTATATTGTACTTGCTGCCATTCTGAGTTGTTTATGTCGAATTACGAGTTATCAAGGGTTTACTCTACAGTATATGTGGACTGTCTCAAGAGCCTAATTTATATTTTTTTCTTAAAAATATAAAATACTTCATCTTTAAGACAAAATGGAAAAGATCACCAGAGGTGGGTAACTTGTGCAATACTGTTGTCATCATATAAGAATATATACAGTAAGGATGGAGAACTGAGAATTGTATATGTAGTTAATATGTTGCATAAGTGAAAGTCTGTAAATGGTTAAGCATATAATGTCTAAAAGGTTGCCAGTATGCTGTAGATGTCACTGTAAAACAACATCTAATAGATGGTATGTTTGTAAGAGGTGGAACAAACATAAAGGGAATACTGTGGGTGAGTAAGGTGTTCTGGTCTAGAAGTGTTTCAAAAGATACAACTAAGCTACTAACTGGAGAATACAGGTGCTCCCCAACTTACGGCGGGGTTAGGAAACCAAATCCAGGTCGTAAGGCCGACAAAAAAAAATAATTATAAAAAATTTTCAAAATTAAAAAAAAAACAATATTAAAAAATCTACAATGAAATACAGTACAGTAAAAGTGATAAATAATGAGGAATGGATACATAGTGACTGAGCACTTACCTTTAATGTAGTCAGCTGAATGCACACAGGGCCCCCATAATTTTCTAATTATACATGGAGACTACATTAACTGGAAAAGTTTCGGTATAGAAAATGCGCTCGTCATTTAAAAAAAAAAAAAATTGGTCACAACTGTGGCGGTCGTATGTCCAGACGGTCGTAAAGTCAGAGCAGGTCTTAAGTACTGATGGACGTAAGTCCAAGCAGTTGTAAGTCGGGGACTACCTATATTAAAAAAGATATGAGTAAAGCAAGAGCACATTTGAAGATATCTTAATTTAGTGTCTTTGAGTTGAAAGATAAGGAGTGTTTTAAGTAAAGCTTATGCAACTGTTCAACTAGTAAAACTCAATTTATCCCTCTGGTACTCCTGGCCATGATAGATCTCAACCCCTCGCGATTTTTCGACACAGGTTGCGTCAGTTACAAATGGTTTTTCCATTTTAGTAAACATTGGGTAGTGATCCAGACCCAAATTGCACCCATAGAGATGCATTTGCCAGCCCATGAGGCTAGTGGGAGGAACTTAAGAGGCTGATAGGGCCAGTCCACTGTTCCAGCATTTCTGCTTATGGGAGGGGTGCTCTTAGTGTGAGATACAGTTGAGCGGGAGGGGTCAGGCCAGTACGGGAGCTCTTAGTGACTCAATCTGCATCAAAAGACCACAAGAGGGTTAAGTTTAAGTTGATGATATGTGTGATTAGGTTACATTTTACATATTCACATCTGTGTTTTGTTATACACTATTTCAGTGTAATAAAATCTAAATACTAATCTCTCCAAAACCATAAAACCTTAATCAACTGATCCACCTCATATCACTGGAAATGGAAGTACAGAATACTGTAAAGCATTTGATTAACACTGACCCTATGGTAATAAGAACGAATATAATTAACTTTTTGGGGGTTACTCATGAACATGGCATGTCACGTAGGCCGGCCATTTATGCCAAAGTATTCCTTAAAAACATAACCTGACTCGTGATTCTCTAAATATCTAAAGACATCCCCCATGTCCACGTGAAATCCACTGCTCTTTACGCGAATGTTGTTTTCTGAGCCGAGCTCTTCAAATGTAGAAAATCGACGTAATTTGGATAAATCTTGTTCTGCAGTAATTTCCATATCTTCATGTTTTTTACAAAGAATCTTCTGCCAGTTCCATGATCTAACCTGGAATGGTCAAAATATTAAAGATTCTACTGTATTCTGTAAGTCAGTCTCCATAAGTAACATGAGAAAGTTCATGTTTCTGTTATTTGAAGTAAGCCAACAAAATATTGTCCTCCAGTGGCTATAAACACATGTACTCCAGCATGATACAAAGTGACAGTGAAACATGCAGTTCCTCTTAGGTTATAATATATAGTTCAATTCACAAAGACTTCCTATCAAAAATCAAGGTTATATTCTTGCTTCTAAAATGTAGTGATGAATTTTGCAAATGGGAATGTTACAGATGCATAAGCATATTTTAAGGATTAAAGTCATTACATCACCCCTTCATTGCAAAAATAGTTAATTTAACTTCAGAAATACTATCTAACATCTGTTTCATCATCATCATCAATATTTTACAGCTATTTTCCACACTTGCATGGGTTAGCTGTGATTACCTGCTGGCAGCTCTCCATGCTGCACTGTTTTTTTCAGTTTATCTTGTCAGGTTTCTAACTTTAATGTCGTTTCTTACAACCTCTCCCCCTGCCATTCTAGGCCTGTCCCTGGCTCTCTTGCCCTCCACATTTAGACTCATGCACCTTTTGATCTAATTTGTCTCATCCATTCTCTTCACATTCCCAAATCATCTCAACTTGCCTCTATGCAAAACTTCACCAATACAGCACTCTCAATACCCAGCCACTCTCTTAGCTCAGAACAGTACCTCCTTTCTTTCAGTGTCACATTGCAAACTGCAGTTATTTAAAAAAGAGAAATTTCATTCATATAAAATACAGTAATGTGATATCTAAAAATTGCCCAAAACAAACTAGGAGAACTTGAAATCCTAATACTGTACTTACTGTAGTATGATCCAAAAATTCCATTGCACTTTGGGGCTAGTATTTGGAAAAGTGGTTATGTTTAGCAAATCCCCAAAAATATTGAGACCCCAGGCATCCGAAAGAATATGAAACATCAGATGAAGATCAACTCGACCAATACATTAATATGTCTGAGGTTATCACTCGTTTCTGTTCCATTGGACCCTGGGGTCTTGATACTTTTTGGATTGGCTGTACATGTTTGGAAAAATATTGGAAAATAATACTGGGTGGATGAAGAGGAGAACCAGAAGGAAGCACTCTCTGTTTTTGAAAACAAAGCTGTTGTACCTAACAATACATGAAAGTTTGGAAAATACAATTTATCTAATCCAAAACATACAAATGTATTACAAACACATTCTTATATTTTATTTACAATGTCTTACTTCTCCAGTGAGAGCAACCCCCCCCCCCCTAAGAGGGTTCACACAACAGAAAAATATTCAGGTTACCCTCTCACTCACATTCCACCCCTGCCCTCTCTAGTTCCCGTGTCCCCCTCCTATTCTCTCCTTAACATACTGTTCCACCCTTCCCCCCCATGCTGTAGACAATCTTCCTCTACACAATGCACGTGAAACATTGAAAAGCTATTAGCAGCACATTCTTGAGTTAGTATCATATCAACCTTTTGTACCAACAGCATTCATAATCTTGATCAAGTGTTTAGCATCTTACCTTATGCCACCAGTCTTCTGTGTTCCGTGACAAACCTTCAACACAGATTATTCCAGGTTTTCCAGGTAAACAGAATCCAGTTAAATCAAACTCTTTAGACAAATCCAAGATGTCTTTCCGTTTCACCTGGAATTGTTTGTGGCATAAGCTTCATCAAATAAAATATTCCAAGAGAAAAGAAATATGATTAAAACATGATAATCAAGTAAAGCCCAACTCAAGGTAAAAAAAACTAAGACATGGAGAATAGATAGACATCCTCAAAAGAGTTTCATATCTCTAAAGAGAACACATATTTTATTTCACTGTAATATGTCCAATCACTGCGATGGTTTGTTGGTTTTCAGAAATTATGAAAACCAAAAAAATCTTAAATATGGGGCACTAAAAATATAACGAATCTGCCAAATGCAAATCCTAATCTACCTAACAACTTGTTCATAAGCCTGGTTAAATATACAGGTTGATCTTCTCTTATCCAGTATTTCATCGACCGGTAACTCATAATTAATGACACTTATACAGTACATGTACAAAAAGCCTCAAACATCCCATTGAATGGCATGTTCAACCACCTGGTGATTATCCAGTTGATGAGACCTAATTCTAACATTACAGCATAACCCCCAGATATCCGGCATTTATCCTGTAATTCAACTAAATATTTTGTTTATTTTTTACATAAAAAATACTGTATATACTATAGTATACTATATATTTTGTTTTACATTAACTCACAATATTCCGAGATTTCAAGGTGCAATCTCAGAATAGCATAACACATGCGACCTACACGAGAGAATTTGCCCGGTCAGCCACTCAAATATGCGTTAGTAGGCCTAGTGAGAGGATACTCATCCACAGTCACCACTTACTTTCACGTATTTTGCACTGTATATACAGTGGTCCCTCGGTTAACGAACGGTTCGGTTAATTAAATTTCGGTTAACGAATTACCTTTCATAAGAATCTTCAATTCGGTTAACGAACAAAAATTTGATTAATGAAATCCTTACGAACATCACGTTTTGCTGTGAGCATCAGCTGATGGGCTAGTCTGCCAATTCAGTAATCTGTTCTATTCTTACATTTGTTTCCAATGGAGTAAATATCAATAAAGTTGTGCTCTTTAATATTTTTGCATTTTTTTAAATTAAAATTATTAGTCATTTTAACATTTATTTAACATATTGATAATATATGCAGTACAGGGAACTAATTTTTTGTGCGCCCATCAGCAGCTTGACTTGGCCACAAGGCGTCAGTTGGGCTTTGTTGACAGTGAAGTGAACATCTATTTTGTTGGTCTTGAATATTTTTGCATTTTTCATTGAAATTATTGGTCATTATGAAATTTAGTTAACATATTGATAATATATAGCAAAGTGCAGTGTTGATTTAAAGAAAATAATCTTGAATTACACCTAGTGAACTTAAAATTTTATTGGTGAAATGATGGCATCAAGCATGGGTCCACTGAAACGTGATTTCTCCTCCATCCCCACTTCCTTCTCTTCTCCCTTCTCCTCCACCCCCCACTTCTAATTCCCATCATCATCATCATCATCAACCAGGAACCTTCTACATACACACCTCAAAGTAAGTGTACTTTACTGCATTTTTTTTTTTTTTACTTTGTATGTACTTTTCTGTGAGCTGGAACCAATTACCCAATATCCCATTGAAACAATGGATTCAGTTAACGAAATTTTCGGTTAACGAATGACCTTCTGGAACGAATTGTGTTCATTAACCGAGGGACCACTGTACTGTACTGTAGTGCAGTGAGCCCCCATCACCTCTGACCCCTACCACGTGGCAGTACAAGCTTGAATTATCATTGTCATTTGCCTGCAGTGCTGGTAAGTGTTAATTTTGTGCAAGTTTTCTGATTATGGTAGGTTATTTTGGCCTAAAAGTTGGGTATAAGGGTGGAATGAAAGAAAAGGAGGAAATTGCCTTTAATTTGGAATGTTTAGAGCCCCATATATTCCAAGTTATCAAGGGTCTAATGAAGGCTTGGTTCCTTGGGACCCAGAGATTAGCCTTCTATCCGAGAACAGCCCTAGCCCTTATAAACCTGCATGAAGAAGCCGCAGTTGCTATGCTAATTCCCTATCATAGAGACACATGTTGTGGAGGGTCCTAAGACTCAAGCCTTCAGCAGGGATATTCATGAATCAATCTGACAGATTTAGGTAATACAGCTGTAAATTCTTTCACGGTTACTTCTTAGTGAATACTGTACTGGGTACCATGACCAATAATATTTACAGTTACTGTACTTATTGGCTAAGGAATTAGGTCACCTGAGACACTGTAGAGTATTGTTAATTCTCACTGGATACTGAGTCATAAGACCAGAAATACATAGATTATATTGTTAACTTACCTTACTGTATATATGATGTGAGTAAATCCAGAGTCGGGCAAATTTAGTGTCCTTGATTTCCACTAAATTATCATCAGACTTAGACACCTCCTCAGGACAATCATCAAAGAATGTCTCACCTTTTTCTTGTAACCATGTAACAGCAGGACCTACACACAGATCACCTTGTTGCAGGGTCTTCAGATACCTAAAATTATTGAAACACATTAATACCCACAAAATTTTAAATGTATGAACCTTATCACTAGTGCATACGTACATAATATTATGTTCCTGGCTTGATAGGTCTAAAATGGTATTTAATTCTTTGAACTATTGTACTTATGCATTTTGCATAAAAAAATACTCAGCCACTTGAGCCACTTATTTCACAAAATGCATCAAGAAAATTCTGCAAAAATTAAGCTATTTCATTGAAATTTATTCTTTTTGTGTCCCCTCTAGCTGTTACCACACAAAGTGCTCGGTGGATGGAAGAGAGTACAGTACAGTACAAATTTTTTTTTATCTCTTCTAGCAGTCATATGTTTGTATTCTTCTGTGGGTTTTAATCATTATCTTGTACAGTAAGTCCTCGTTTAACGTTGCCCCCAATAACGTCGCTATTCTTTAGATACCCATGATTTGGATGACGTCCCGCCGATTCAATATAACATCATTACGGACTACTTTTACGGCGCATCACCCTCTCTTATCTTGGTGCGCTACGCTCTCAGAGCATCACGGCGTACCCACGCGTCGCCAGTCTTTGTTAAGCTACCACAGCATTTGTGGGTATTTAAGCGTTTTTGCTCTTAATACTGTACTCTAACCATTCGAAATGGCTTCCAAGTGCCCGTTAAGTGCTACAGATGCTAGTGTTGTGAAGAAACAACGTAAGACCATTAGCCTTGCTACGAAAATGAAGGTTTTAAACCAGGAGGGGAGCCACCCGCCGAGTCTCAGTGACTCGACACCCTCTTCCTCCGCTCCACTACCCACCACAAGCTCGCTTCACCACCTCCATCCATCAGTGAGTACAATACAAAATTATTAAGTTTATTTATATACGTATATCCTATTTTCAATAAAAATGCCATTGAATTTCTGTATTTTATGGGGCAAAGGGAGGCTGGGGAACGTAACTCCTGTATTTTATCTATTTATGGGGAAAATTGATTCTGCTAACGCCGTTTCCAATAACGTCGCGGTTTTCAGGAACGGAACCAAGACGTTAAGCAAGGACTTACTGTACCTTATTTTGTCTTCTTTCATATAATTTTTTTCTGAACAGCATTTCCTTTTTTTAATATCCAGTTGTCAATAAATAAGTAATGTAGCCTCCTATTACTACTAGTATTAGCTGAATGACCATATATCAAAATTAAATCTACATTTTGTCTTGAATTCATGATTTCATAAAGGAACACCGAGTTTTCATATACTCTGTATATTCACTGGAAACAATATTTAGATAAATGTATTCATATTATTTGGGTAAAAAAATGGTCATCCTACCTCAAATAGAATGTTTTCTATGCCTAAAAATATAAAAATTTCTCTGGGTCAATGAACACATACAGTACTTAGTCCCTTTGCTATTAGTGATGTCCCAAACAGTTGGTGGGTGGCTGATGGCTGGTATTCAAATGCTACTTTTAATATTGTTTTAATTGTCTCTGTTAATAAAAGATTTGGTTTGTTAGATAATATGTATACTGTACAGTATACAAGCTTTAAACATTAAATTTACACCCAAGGTCACAGCAATTTGTATCTCTAAAAACAGTGGTAAAATATTCAAAATGTGAAAAGAAATTCTAACAAACCAACATAGTGTTCAACATGGATAGGAAATTTTAAGTATTAAAGGTTGTAGGTTGATGAACACATGTGAGAAGGAAGAGAGTTCCATACTTAAGAATTGTGAGAATAATGATGAGGTTTAACTAAAGGGATCTTATATGCATTAACCCTTACATTGGCATAATGCAGTACAGTATACTACAGTGCAGTATATTACAATTGAATGACACACCAGCATTGGCCAATTTTTTTTTCTTGCCAAAATTACCTCGGAATTGTCATAAATCTGTGTAAAACATGAAAATTTTACTTGGTGAGCATTGGTAGTCCAGTACAAAGGGCCTCTTGGATGTCGCCTTGGTCTATCACCATAAAGAGAAAGATAAAAAGGGACCAATTGCATATCATGTGCAATATAAATTTGCATTACAATCATAATAGGTAAACAAACCCTAAGAGCTCCTGGTTGAGGCGATGTTGGGCATCACGATTCAGTGTCTGTGAACGCACAAATACACTTGGCTGTACGGCTGGATAGTGGTGAGGGAGGTTGACACTCATGCTGAGACGGCCCTGATTTACAAGAAAACAAAATAAACCATTATTAGCTTGCTAGATAAAGACTTAAATTAAAATGGAAAAGAAATATTTGAAAAGTTGCCTTATTATTAGACATATTAACTTAAATGAGGCAAAGTTCTTACCAGATCAAATGGGTTTACTGATTAGTGTTTTGTTTAGGCTTCAAAATAATTACGGTAATAGTGTTAACATCAGAGCATTTAGTTACATTCCTGACCAAAACTTCATCATATAAAGAATGGAGGAAATTTTCATAAGAATTGTATGAGGAGGCCATTAATAATAATAATAATAATAATAATAATAATAATAATAATAATAATGTAATAATATATGAATTACATGTATGGTACTGTTCTGTAATGACAAAGAGGACTATCAATTACTCAGAAAGTGTAATCTGTCACTACTATTTAATTAGCTAAGTTAAATAGCTGCTTCATCTCATATCCTAAATCAATTTACAGTCAGTTCAGCTATAACGCGATAGTTGTGTTCTTGTAAAATATCGTGTTATAGAAAATCGCGTCATAGAAATAACAGGGCTTATGGAGAAAATAGGGTTAGGTGCAGATTATTACTCGAAATCGAAAAAAATTAGTAGTTAGCCTAACACAAAGGATAGCACAGTCTAAATAAATATTACATTCATATCTAATAATGAAATCATACAGTAAATGTAACACTTTACCTTGAAAAAATATGAATATAACTTGATGGGGGAGAAGGGTGATTTTGAGGTTGATAACATCGAGCTTCTCTTCAAGTGTTATATCCTTTCGTTTACGATCATCACCGGGAATTCGATCACCAGAACGCTTCTTGGAGATATTCTTCTTTACCATATTCACAGTTAATACCACAAAATTGGAGAAATAGTAAGCAAAAATCGCGTTACAGCAAACAAGCGTTCGGATCATACAAATATCGTTCCTCTATTCATAAATCGCGTTAGAGCAAATTCGCGTTATCAAAACACGCGTTATAGCAGAACTTATGCTCATCAATGATGCCCTAAGAGAAACCCCTGCTCGCTGGAAATATGTTGACGACTCCACCATTGGGATCAGCGTCAACAATTCTGCTCCCAACTATACCGCCCTTCAGGATTTATTGAACAGTCTCCAAAACTGGGCCACCAACAACCATGTCACCATCAACCATACCAAGACCATGGTTATGCACATCAACCTCTCCTCCGACATTGTCCCACCCCCTTCCATTACTTTAGGTCCGAACACACTCCAGGTTGTAGATTCCACAAAGCTCCTCGGCGTCACCATAGACAACAAACTAAATTGGAAACCACACGTCAGTGAAGTTGTCAAATCCTCCAGTTTCCGTCTCCACCTCCTCCGCCGACTCAAGTCCCTCGGAGTTCCTGCACCAGAGCTCCTCAGTGTTTACACAACATTCATACTTCCCAAGCTCACCTAAGCCTCCCCCACCTGGTCTTCCTCCCTAAATGCCACACAACGTAAACACCTAGAAAAAGTGCAAAAGAGGGCATGCAAGATTATTCTCTCCCCTTCCTACTCCACATATCAAGAAGCGCTCAACACACTGACCCTTTCGACTCTCACTGACCATCACCACGACCTCATCTGCAAGTTTGGTAAGAAGCTTCTACACCATCCTCGACACCGGCTCCTACTACCGCCCGAGATCCCTAGCCCGAGAATTGCTGTTCGACACCACAACCGCATCCAGCCCATACGTGCACGAACTGATCGCTATAAGAACAGCCCAGTCCCAACCATTGTAAAAATTATCAATAACGTAATAAACCAGTGTATTTACTCCCAGTAAACACTACTTCTTGCACTGTCACTATGTTGAAATGCACTGTAGTTTGAGCTTTTCCCCATCTAGTTATTATATATCTTATTTGTATCACTTATGTCACTTGTATATTATTTGTAATTCGAAACCCATTCCCCAAATATGTAACCGTATATTTTCAGCCTTCTGGCTGCCAAGCTCTTTCAATAAACCATTAATTATTATTATTATTATTATTAACTCACTGTACTGTACAGTATAGTAATACTGTATATTTTAAACATCAAAGTATACTGTACCTTTTCAACATCCAGATTGATGACGAGGTCAAGACGAGGAGGCAGAAGCAATGTGCGACCCTCAGCAAAGTCCCTCAGGTCACACAACACTGATGGGTCATCCACCTCTAACTCTCTTGGGTCAGGGAACATGGACTAGAACAAGAAATACATGCCATATGATCCACATATTAAAGTTTATAATGCAGTATATATTATAAAGTATGTACTGTATTAGCATTTTCTCTATGATCAATTTATAGATGTTATCTCTGGCAATTCATAACTTAATCTAATTAGAGAAAATTAAATAAATGGTGTGTACAGGATATAATACCAATGGATTGACAAAAGAGTGATACAGGTACTGTATATACATTCACAGAAAAATCAAATATTATACAGTACACCCTGAACTTCCATTGATACAGTAATGTACAGGGTACTGTACTTGTATTATTATAATTGTAAGCAAAAATTTACTCAAAACACCTACAGTACTCCCACAAGGTAACAGTACCATAATATAGTACAGAACCATAATCTGTTCTGTAATTTGACTGTCAAGTACTTTGAAGGGTATATTTCTTAAACATAAATGTAGTACTGTACCCTAATGTAAAGACTATATGAATATTACTACTTACCTCTATAGTACAGTATATACTGTACAGTATGTGAAAGTGGGTCCTATAGGCAATACAGGTGTTCCCCGACTTACGACTGCTTGGACTTACGTCCATCTGTACTTTTACAACTTGCTCTGACCTTACGACCGTCAGGACATACGACCGCAGCAGTCGTGACCAAAAATATTTTCAAATGACGCGCGCATTTTCTATACCGAAATGTTTCTATCCCGGGCGAGAGTGTGGCGGGCTCTGTTCGCTGCGTGGGTACACTCACTCAGTGGAGCGCTTAGTTCATGTTTGGCTATTGTAGCCTATACTGATCGCGCTGTGAACTTTCGTTATTATCGTGCTAAATTGACTTTATAATGACTGGAAAGCGTAAAAGTGAGAGTGCTGGTGGTGCTCCAAAGAAAAGGAGACAGGCAATTACTTTTGAGATGAAAATGAAGATAATAACTCAGCATGACAATGGAAAAACTGTAGCTACAATCTCACGCGACCTAGGTTTCTCACACTCGACCATATCCACTATTCTGAAGGACAAGGAATGTATTCGTGATGTAGTGAAAGGAACAACACCTATAAAGGGAACTATAATTTCAAAGAAAAGACAAGGTCCTATTCACGATATGGAAAAATTATTGGTGATATGGATAGAAGACCAGATACAGAAGTGTGTACCCTTAAGCCTTCTAACCATACAGGCTAAAGCAAGAAGCCTGTTCCAAAGTCTGAAGGAGCAGGCAGGAGATGAATGTGATCAAACCTTTACAGGAAGTCATGGGTGGTTTGATAGATTTAAAAAACGCTACAGTCTACACAATGTTAAGGTGAGTGGAGAGGCAGCTAGTGCCGATGTTGGTGCTGCCGAAGCTTTTAAGGAGGAGTTAGGTGAAGTGATTGTGGAAGGGAATTATTTGCCTGAGCAAATATTCAATGTGGATGTGACTGGATTATTGTGGAAGCGCATGCCTGAGCGGACATACAGTTTCAAAGGAGTTAATGAAAATGTAGTTATTTCCGATATTAGTAACAAGATAGTGGAGTTAAGTAAACAGCTGGAGTTAGAAATTGATAATGAAGATGTTGAACAGTTGGTTGAAAGTGTAGCAGAAGAGCTCAGTAACGAGGATCTTATTGAACTAGATGCACAGAAAAATGCAGAGAAAGAAGAGAGACAAAATTTAGAAGAAGAACCCGCACCCCCCCAAAAAGTTTTCAGTGAAACAAATGGCAGAGGCATTTGTTACAATTAATAAAGGAATGTAAATGTTTGATGACATGGATCAAAATTATGAGCGTTATGCCAAAGTTGACAGAATGATCCAAGATGCACTTACTTGCTACAGAGAAATTTATAATGAAAAGAAAAAACAAACTGTGCAGTCTAAATTGGACATCTATTTTAAGAAGTCCCCCAGTGCTGTCTCCTCATGCCCCACCAGTGCTGCCTCTTCACTCCCTCAAGATGATCCAATACCTTCAACCAGCAAGTTTCCACAGCACATAAACCTGTCTGAAGAAAGCGACATTGATGACCCACCCAGCCCTGCCTCCTCCTCTGCCTCATCCAATTAATATAGTCTCCATGTATCCTGTAAATAGAAAATTATGGGGGACCCGTGTGCATTCAGCTGACTACATTAAAGGTAAGTGCTCAGTCACACTGTATCCATTCCTCATTATTTATTACTTTTACTGTACTGTATCCATCCCTCATTATTTACTACTTTTACTGTAATATTGTATTTCATTGTATTTTTTTTTTTTTTTATCTATGTCGGACTAACGACCAATCGGACTTACGACCTGGATTTGGGTCCCTAACCCCGTCGCAAGACGGGGAGCACCTGTACTGCCTGTTTTACTCAATCAATTACATCATTTCCTAATTGCTAAAGTCACCTCCTTTATCACACTACAATGGAAGCTTAAAACCACTCATATTTTGTAATGATAACATATAATGTACTGTACAGTATTAACAATTGTAATATCCAGGAATAGGTACTGGTTATTTAATTAAATAAACTCATTAAATATCTAGATTCATACATGTCTTACAAGTTAAATACTATATCAACATAACTTTACCTACCTGTAACATGTCCATCTCAGACAACTGAAGCTCAATCATGGCCACCAGTTCTGACTGGTCAAGTGACTCGCATGTCACATCTGACTGACCTTCAGTCTCCTTGCTCATATTTCTACAAGTACTCTAGAATTGAGAAATTTTTTTGTTTAGAATTAATGACATGAGGTTTATTGCTGTAATCTACAAAACTTCATTGGCAATTTTCAGGTTATTTCAGAAAGTATGAATACTGTATACAACAAGTATTTTCAATCAGCAATAATGAGCCTGCCAGATTAATAGTGCTTACTGTTCCTTAATTGGATGAAGATCTGGATATAGTATACAGGACTTTTCCTTCTATCCAGAATAGACCTAAATAACCAGACTAAAGGCCCGTCCACACGATCGAGCAGTGCCTGGCTGGCATGCGCTAAATGCCCATTATCGGGCAAAATTGGCGGGCAAACCAGCGGATTGCCCGTGCCCGTCGTTGAGCGAAATCATGGTCCACCTGCCTGGTGGTTTGCTGCCAGATATGGAGCGACGACTCTGCCAGACAAACGATAAAACCGGAAAACCGACATTCCTATAATATTTTCATTAATATTCAACATTACACAAGCCTGCAATACAAGACACGTGTTATTATTGGAACCTCACATGACTGTAAAAAACAGCTGATCACTACGCCACCGCTGACCTCGGGGTCCTCAAGTCGGTGAGGTATGAACAGAGATACTGACCGAACATAAGCTAGTACTTTGTAAAACCTGATACGTATATGTTCCCCGCTCGGTCCAGATGTCCAGTGTATAACCAAATAAGCTTATGCAATGTACATTATTGGCGTGACAATAAACGGGAGATTGTTTATGCATTATGTAATGAGGACATTCGTGTGTGTTCTTCGTTCCTGCCGCTCTCCTCACTCTAGTTCCATAGCTTCCTTTCTATGCATATCATAATTCTAACATTATTCAATGAATTTTTATGTACTACAAATCTCACCTGCAAGTAATCTTCCTTGAGTATTTCATACATGGCTTGACAAGCTGCAGATATTATGCGAGACAAACTTTGTTTTGATATCCTCGTTCTATACTGAAGTGACGTGTAGGTGCACCCAGTTGAAAGATATATGAGCGTTGCCTCTAGACGAGTCTCTGCAGATATACTTTCCCTCATATTGGTATCCTGTTTTTTTTATATATGGTTCCACTTTCGCTAGGAGTTTGTAAAAGGTGTTGGGGTCCATTCTCATGTAATTGGTGAAGTCTTTCTCATGTCCATCTTGCAGTTCACGTAAAATCGTGGCATGACTTCCTAATACTTTTCTTCGATCTAACCACTCTTTGCACCATTCCCTTTTCTGCATATGGTTCTTCTCTTTGCACATAGCAGCAATTATTATAGTACACAACGCTATTCGCTTTAACTGTCCGGCAATTATTCCTGTGACACACCATGGTGATCGTACCGCACCCGCCACTGCCGACCACCTACCGGCACCTGACTATGACTGCCGCCAACCACCCCCGTGTGTACAACAACACACAGGCTTTGCCCGGTAAACGGGCAAAGCCCGCCGGGCACTGCTCGGTCGTGTGGACGGGGCTTAAGTGATTGTGACTGCAGCGGGCAATTTCCCCGACTTGGACCCCAAAAAATGACTAGGGTAAGTGGTGTTTGTTGGGAAAGAAAATATGCTCTATCAAGTACTGTACAGTACTCATAAGGTGATTACAGTGCTCTTTTCCCAATCTTGATTTGAGTTTTCTATTTTTATTACAGTACATAGAGTATATGTACTGTATCTGTTATGATAAATGTTTGTGCACATATTGATGGCAAAAAAAAAAAGCCCTCTAATTTTTCTACTCATTTTCACGAATTACAGGTACAGGTACTATTATCATAGCTAGTAATGTTATTTATTATAATCATTATTGCTATTATTTTAGTACATTAACTGTTATAATACTGTACAGTACAGGTATTACCCAAATATTACTGTATCACTATTACAGTATCCTGTATGTATCTTATTATTATTATTACTAGTACTATAAGTATCATATTATTGTTATTACTGTTTTCCTTTAATAGATTACTAATTACTACCATCAATACTACTATAAACATTATTATCATACTGATCAATATTAATATTAAAATATTTCAATTATGGTATCATCACAGTTAAAATCACTACTTCATATTTCATAACTTTAAAATACAGTACTGTATCTTACAGCTTGTTACATCCATATATATGTATTGTATAATGTACACTAAAAAACAAGTCATAAAACCATTTACCTTGTACCTCACTGACATCTTTGGTAACAAGAGAAAAAGAAAACTTGAGCAGCTCCAGCCTCAGCAAGGAGCAACACCACACTGACTTACAACACGGCAACTGCCTGCTTTTATAGCCACCCCTAGCCCCTCCCTAACCCTCTCCTACCCCCCTTACCCCCGTGCGGTTGTTTCCTTAACAAGACCCTAATTTAATGCCAGTCCATAGGAGATTCTTGCATCCCACTGTGAACTTTCCCTTTACTTTCATTAATAAACTTCATTTGGCATGACTAATCAAAATTAGAGACAAAGCTACTGCGGTACCACTAATCATATAAAAATCGTCATTTTTCCAAGTCTAATTCATACTTAGTCACCTAGAATTATTGTTTTGAGATCCAGTTCACATGAATATTAACAAATGCCTTTCGGAGTTAACAAATCCATATGGTTTTGTTTAGAAAACTTTGAAGATAAAGAAATCACATTTTGTCACTTTCAAATCAAGAAAGAAATGTAAGCATGTACACTGTCCAATAATTTACATAAAATCACTGACAAGTGAGTAGATATTAGGATATGAGCTAAATACAGTACACAAATTTATCTTTATTTTATTGAAAATTATGATATAAAACACTGGCAACATATGCTTCATGAAAAACAAGATCACTGGATATGCTCTAACCCTTTAGTAGTGACGAAATACTATACTTTTATGTCAGACATGCATTAATCATGCAGAGACTTGTTATTTACATCATGGGAGTACAAAAAGAAATTCATTCCCGAGTTCTCTTTTGTTCTGTAGCCCCATTCATGCACACTCTTCACTGTCATGCATAAATTCTTTTAAACATAACTGATGGTAGGTTCAAAAAGAGGAACAATAAACCCTTGATATTATCTACTAGCATTAAACAAAGCTGTAAGTAATGTTATACCACAGTTATGAAACTTAAGAATATATAACAGGACGTACATATTTTTTTCTCTGGAAACCCCATCCTTTTCACAATGGACCATGTGATAAAAAGAGGGGGTTTGTAAAGGATTGCACAACACCTGGTGCCTATTAGTCTTAGCTGTAGTGTGACAGTCATGAACTTAACTGCTCCCATGTAGAACATGATTTGTAAACAAACTAATTAAAAATTGTAATTAAGTAATGATACCAGTACTGTACTGCAAACATGTATATATACAGTACAGTACAATGCATGAAACAACCAAATACCTGACAACTGGTCACTAACAACCATAACATAATTAAAAAATCTCAACTCTACTCCCACTGAATTGTAATTTTGATAAAATTTTTAGTGCATCCAAATTACCCATGACACTTGTCTTCATATATCCATCTTTATAACATTTTCCTGTGCAGTTCAAGAATAACCAACACACACTGACCATTTTGGCATTAGCTAGCAGAGGCTCTACCCATAATCTTTCCCATGCCATACACTAACCTGTCTGTATTTATTCTCTTTATCTTCAGTATTTTTCCCTAAACTATAAACTAGTCTTGTGTAACTAACTTATAATCAGTCTTCCGTAAATGCAAAGATAAACTAAATTAACAAGGGCCTCACATATGAGCTGCAGTTTATATTTATTGATTACCATTTTTATCTCAAATTACATAGTTAGATATGAATGACTGTGTGTTCCAATGCATGATCACCATGTAGGAAATCAAACATACAGAGACACATATACTGTATGCATAATAGATACATATAGGCTATTTTATGGGTCAACATGTGTAATGCATATACTGTAATGTAGGTGTAATTATGTATGTTCGAGTATGTACAGTATAATGTACAGGTATACTAGAAAAACTTTGTGTGTGTATTCTCAACACTGTAACATGTGCAGAAAATTAATACAACTATATGCATATAATAAGGGATGGTGATAATGATTTGATTTCATTTTAATTCATGAATTACAATATCATATTTTCCTCACAATCTTGTAACATTGTCAATTTAACATTATTTACTGATGGACAAATTTGCAGGGACGATGTTTACCACCCACATTCAACAATATGGAGTGATACCCAGATTCCAAAGTACCGTTTAGAGGGACCAGTTTTACCTTGGAAACACCTTGAACTTGTCAGCTCTGACCTTCACCTACGTTCATTACTCACAAACCCTCCTACAAAACGCTTTAAAATACAAAGAATAGTTTTTTACGACACTAATTCCTCAAAAATTTGTTTAGAAGTAATCTTATTGTTAAATTATTAAATTATTCTTTAGTGAACTCTACAGGAGAAGTGTATTACTCATCACACGATAAAGGGGTCCAGTAATGGGGTTGAAGGCTCCAAGCCCCGCCCCCACCACCCCTTAGAAACAGCAGTCGGAACTAACAATAATTATATAAACACAATTTCCTGTAGATAATTACCTGCTGGTACTAAACTAGAAAACGCACACGAGTTCTCTTAACCTAATAAATTTGTATATATTATGAGTTCTCGCCTATTTTAGGGAAAATATAGGTGAATGTGTGAAGCAGATGGTGCCACCTCGACCGTACACAAGTCCACGTGAACCTATCAAAACAAACGACCATTCGAAAGTGACTGTTTTGAACGAGAAATATTTCTCTAGAAACTTAATTTATATATTTCATTTTGTAAATTAAGGCATTAATTAATATTAAAAATTAAATAATATAATAGGATGGTATATATCGGATGACGCAGTAGAATGGACGGAACAAAGAAAGAGGGAAAGGGAGGGGGGGGGGGGGATATCTTGTGGGGTCATCGTGGGAGGGTTATTTGTGCTAAATTTATTTTAAATATATTATATATAATACCTCCACCCCCTCCCTCCTTGTGGAGGACCTCAATGCCTTGCACCCGTCTCTGCTTCCAGGGGCCCCACCCAAACCCCCGGGGTAAGTCCTGACTGTCTTCCCTACAAACTACCGATGACCCTGTGGGGAATGAGATGTTTGGTTCACACTCAGGATGGGATGAAGAAAGGAAACTCACAAAGTGCTCTCTTTATACATGTTGTATTGGATGTACAATGCAGCTTGGTGCTGGGAAGGCAGCATGGTTACAAGCGTGATGTAGAGCGAGCTGGTTGGTGAGGATGCTCAGAGGAGGACCAGCTTGTGGGTCGCCATGCTCGCCGGCGGGAGCGAGGACCGCCAGGCAGGCGGAGGAGGAGGAGGTGGTGTTGCTGGCTGGTTGGTGTAGGTAGAAAGAGAGAGAACACCACGAGGTCAGGTCTTAAATAGCGGGGGTAGGCGTGGCTTAGTAGTTGACCTCCATGTTGTATGGCGGCGCTGGTTGACCCAGACCACGAGGCATACACTGGGGAATTCGTGGGGTCGGCTACGCAGCGACAAACAGCGTTTGTTGGGGAGAAATCCACTACAATACTCCCTCCTTCCCCCCAGGCGGTGTAGGAGACTTGTTGTCTGCAGGGTTGCATGGCACATGTGAGGCAGAACGGGCGGTGCATGCCTCATGTGGGACATAACGGCAGGGCGTGGATGAGCCGGCCGCTAGAAGAGACAACTGTCTAGATACACAATATTTGTGGGAGAAAGAGGGTGTGTGGAGGGGATGAATGTTGTGCTTCCCTCAAGGCAGGTACAGAGTCGTCAGATGCTCCTGCTGGGGAGTGTGGGCCTGGGTCAGGAGCAGGGGCTGCCTCAGCAAAAGCGGATGAGGGCTCATGACAGCAGCAGGGTGCAGGACAGTAGCAGGGAGTACCTGAGGGAGAAAAGAGGGGTGTGTGGGTCCGCACTCAGGCGCATGGGCCGCGTCGGGAGCAGGGGCTGCATCAGGAGCGGCAGTGGGTACTTCTGGGCCAAGGCGGCGTCTGAGGCAGGACGGGTGAGATAGGGTTGGTAGGACGTGGTGCTTGGGGCAGGAAGAGGAGCTAGTGTCTGCTTAGAGAAGCAGTGCTGCTCTAGGGTGTCTAACCTGCGGTGTAGAGACAGTAGCTGTAGAGCCGATGAGAGCTGCCTCTGCGTGGATAAGCCAGTCTTCCATGTTGCTTGAAGACTGGGAGAGTGATCGGTTTCTCCTCCATCCTTTCACAGCGCGGCTGTGAGCTTATATACACGTCCATCGAAAGTAAGCATCGCTGTTGGCCGACCACCAGTGCATTCCAGACGGCTAGGCTTGTCAGAGAAACTCGTTGCGGGATCGGCTATCAGGGACTAACGGCAGTGTCAGTTAGGGGAGAGTATCAACTACAAGTTCGGTCACTTTGTTCCAAATATTTGCGGCTTTGTTATGTATTTCTACATTGATTGCTAAGATGTTTATTCTCTTGTGTAGCTGTTCATTATTGCTGTGGTGTGTATATTTTATGTTATAAATCTGAGGGCTATATTTTGTACTGTCTGTAACCTTTTAATGCTCGTTTTACTAAGGGTGTTCAATGGGATGGGTGGATAGTCCATAATTGATTTGACAAGGACTATGTAAATCTTTCTTTGTTATTTATGCTAAGGTTCTTAGAGCGTTTTATTTTTTATAATCTTTTCTTGCCTGGCGTTCTTTATCTTTTATGTATGTTATATATCCTCTTGTTGTTAGTTTTAGTCCAAGCATCCTACCTTCAGTGGCGTATTGGTATAGTTCCTGGTCGACTATTACTGGACTTGTTTTGATCTTGGCTATTGGTTTTATCTTGAATTTGTTCTTTTTTGTCCTGATTTTCCGTTTTTTCTCAGTCATTTATGTTTTTTATTGCTGTTGCCGTGAAGCGTGGCATAAATTGGGTTGATTTCCTGGGCCCTTGCGGAGAGGCAGGGGTTATTTATATCATCCTGCCGGATCAAGATTCGAAAGGCAAAGAAGAGAAATGCTGCTGATTGGCTAAGATGAAGGCGGCAACTGACCAATCACCGCGCAGTTCGAACGCGAGGGCTGATTTGTGGAACTCGCCGCTGGTTGGCTGGTAAGCGGACGTCAAGTGACCAATTAGCAATTGTAGGGGACAGTATCCACTACACATGAACCACTAGTGCTTGTGGAATACAGCTTTGTGGAGTAATTTGAAGCTTGTCTGTGTAGTAGTAGGAAGTTTGTCTTTTAATATTTTTAGTGGTATCCGATGTTCTGCATGACTGTGAACCTGGTTGCTTTGTATTCTTATTTTCTAGTGTTTTGTATACAGTACAGTATCAGTTTGTTTAACTCGTAAAGAGTATTATGATCTAGTTAGGGAAATTAGCCCAGTGATGTCGAAATATTTGTGTTTAATTAAGGGTCGTCAGCCTCGTATGCGGTTCTTTGTTGAAGAATTTGGTAGTCTAGGATGATAGAGTTTACTTGACTAGTGTCCCATGTCAAGAAATTGAGACTCATAATGAGAGGTTGTGGTGGGTGGTGATGAGTTACGGTTCATGTCTTTTTTTAATTATGTTCAGAATCGGCAGGTGTATTGCGTATTTCCAAGGACTTCATCGTATTTTTGTGGCAAAATGATGGGTCAAAACCTATTTCCTGCTTTGAAATGGGAATTGATACTTGCACAAAATCTGTTAGGAAGTAGGGAGTGGGTAATGTTAGACTGTGTGAAAACGTTTTGTGGTGTGGGAATAAGAATGTGTTCTCAATGTTTAAGGATATTATTTTGGTATGTTGTCTGGTCCAGAGGGTTTTGTTCAGTGCCCCTTGAAGCCTTTTTATAACGATAATAGAAAAGTCCAGTGAAGATATTAGGGGGTAGGGTGAAGGTGGCTTGTATGGCATCTGGTTGTTTTCTTCTGTAACACCACGACTGAAACTCTGTGTTTGGTATTTGAGTTTTATCTCATGGTTCGGTTAGCAATAAGTCGTTATTCTTGAGTGGTGATAAATGTATATAACCAGCACCATGGTTGAATATTCTGAAAACTTGACTTTGGTTTGTCATGACCTTGTCAGATGTTATGATATGCTTTATATATGAACCAGTTTTCAGGTGTCGTAAGTCTGTGTTCGTTTGTACAACCTGTGTCTTCTGCCATGTTGTGTACGTAATTAGAGGGCTTTATAGTTGGAGATGAAAAGTTGGATCCAATGATTTTACAATCCGTGTTTAGATTTGTGTGTAGCTGCGAGTCCTGGCTTGTGGCGATGAGAACACCACTATTATCTACGTCTACGTCTCTGTGTTTTGGTTCTACTTTCATCATATGTGAGAGAGAGAGAGATCTCATTAAAGTTTATATAATATAGTATCCATGTCTCACTCCCTATAATGATACCCAGGTTGCAAATTTGAAATAAAGTAAGGTGTAGGAGATAGCTTAGGTATAATGGTGCGGAAATTAGATAAGCGTTTTAAGTGTGAAGTTGGAGGAGAGGGGGAAGGGGTGGTGGCTAGGAGGAGTGTATGAAGGAGTACAGGGTTGGGAGAAAATAATGTAGGTTATGGAAACGTGGGAGGAGTGGATGTTGCAGTGGGGGTAGAGGTAGTAGTTACACTGGAAGATAGTGGGGAGTCTGGGGACTGTAGAGTGGGGCGTGGAGAAGGGGACGATGTTGGAGAATAGGGGGAGGGATGATAATACAATAGTAGGTTCTGGTACTGGTACTGAATGGGGAGTGAATAATCTGTAAGTATGAATGGTAAGTATACATATTTTGATTGTGTGCTGGTGTTGGGAATGGTTACATGGGGTGTGGTGTTCACGAAGGTTTTTGGTATGCTTGTTACAAGTCCAGAATAGTGAAGGGGGCTGAGAGGGGTACTAGTCAAGGTGAAAAAAGACAGCCAGGAGAATTGGGAAAGACGAACCTAAGACACACCCACAAGACGCTATTGTGGGAGGAGGGTGAGGGGGGGGGGCTGGTCATGGTGAGGGGGGTGGGGGTGCTGGTCATGGTGAGAAAAAAGACAATCAGAAGAATTAGGGAAGGCAAAGCTGAAAAACACATCCACAAGATGGTGTTGCCATCCGATGTAACGTAAGACAGTTTGAAGGTCCCCTCCACGGCCGGCGTAGTCCCAGACAGCGTACTCGGGTAACCCCAGGAACCGCGCTAAACGTCTTTCTGCCCCCGTGTCGCAGAACCCCAATAAATGGTGTTTTAATGGGCAAAATCGCACCAACTATTTCCTCACAAGAGAGAATCACGTCACTAAAATGGAGAAATGGCCATCAGTTCGTGTCTTTTGAGTTCGTTCGGTTAACTTATTGTTGGTTAGGCTAGATTTAGTTAGATTAAATAAGATTAAGTTAAAATGAGTTAGGTTAAATTAAGTTAGGGTAGGTCACGTAGGTGAGGAGCTGTACGGTTAAGTTAGAATAGATCAGATTAAGTTAGGGTAGGTTAGGCTGAGAGAGAACTAGAAGAAATCAAAGATATTAGAGAAACAGACCTATAAAAGTATTAAAAATAAGAAAACGAGAGATACTCACAGAATGTCAGTAACAGAAATAAAGTAATAGAGAAAGCGAGAGAGAGTTTCCTACGTTGTCAGTCATCCCCACAAGGTCATCAGAGCGTTGTGGCCGTCCTAAAAAAAATTAATTCCTCGAGCCATGGCTGAGGGTCACTGAGGACCCCAGGAGGCACGTCACGCGCACATGGTCCACATATTTTTAGGCCCACATTCTTGTTTGCTTTCATTCCATAGCACGTGTGTGTCGGGCAATGATTTTCTGAGTGAGTGTGTGGGGTACGAGTTGTTTGGGTTCACACTCAGGATGGGATGGAGAAAGGAAACTCACAATGTGCTCTCTGTATACATGTTGTATTGGATGTACAATGCAGCTTGGTGCTGGGAAGGCAGCATGGTTGGTGAGGGTGCTCAGAGGAGGACAAGCTTGTGGGTCGCCAGGCAGCGGCGGAGGAGATGGTGTTGCTTGCTGCGGCTGTAGCTAGAAAGAGAGGGGTGATGATGATGATAATGGAGATAAAATGGCAATGGCTTGCCATGGGAAGGGAGAGAAGAGGTAAGGTAGAAGGAAAGTTATGAAACGGGAAGTAAAGTAGTAGAGAATAAGAGCAGGTGGGCTATCCACCTAGCAGAGACGATTTGATTGGCTGTGGTGAAGGCCGCACTAAGAGGCTCGCCCGAGCTAGAGGGAACAGGGGGGAGGAGGCTAAGCTAGCTAGCAAGAGGTTGTTTGTTATTGTGTTAGTTGGAGAGGTCTACTAGGTCCTTGTGTAACTAGAAGAATACTCTCATCTTTTGTTTACTATTTAGTGTACAAAAGTTCTGGCTCTTGAGGGTTATGGAGAAGGCTTTTTGGCCACCAGCTGTGTGATCTTCTGGTGTCCTCTGTTTTTAGCCGATTATATATTTCGTCTTCCGTTACTTCTAGTTTGTGCCATACTGCCTGTGCTTGGCTGTATGTTCTTATGTTCAGTGTTAAAATGTTGTATTTTTCGTGAAGCTCTTTAATTTTGTTTGTGTATGGCGGACGTTGTTTGGAGGCTCTGCGGATGGCTTTGTTTTGTGTTGCCTGGAGTTTTAATTGGTTGGTAAGGCTGATCGTGTTTAATGGTATTGGCGGGTATTCAAGATGGGGGTGGACAAGTGCTTTAAATAGGTGCAGTTGTATTTTCTCTTCCATTTTGCCGAATCTTCTTAATTTGGTAAGCTGTATTTACCCACTGAGGGCGGTGTGCGAACGAGGTGCCTGTTGTGTATACCTAAAAGTTACAAGGAGTCCCATACCTGCAGGGGTGGAGTGTAACATGTGTGTTGAGGTGGTGCTACTATGTATGGTAACCGACGAGCCTATATTCCATACAGGTGGAGCAGCCTGATGTGTTAAGAGCTCGTGTAAGAAGGAATGACCGAGGTAAGGTGGTCACAGATTGTGTTCTGCAATAAGTATGTGGATGACACGCCATTAATGTAAGACGTCTGGTGCCCATCTGGGTAACCAACATTTTCGTTGTTCTTCTGAGGAAGGCCAACTCATTTGTATGTTTTTTACCAGTATGCTTTATAAGGAATAAATTAATTAAGACATGTTATGGTTTCACCCTTCTTTCCCCTTATCGATCTGGTCAATGGAAAACCTAACCCAATGCCTAGTCCACTCTGCACGCTACCTAACGAGCTACATGCTGTCCAGAGGGGGTCTGGTGGCAGCGACCCTTAGAAATTAAGATTAGAGTTGAGTATTCCCCCTTAGAATTAGTGACCCCAGTCTGGCAGTATAACAACACTACTTGAAATTAAATGATATAGCCTTAGAAAAACATACTATTTTCACATTGTTTCACTGAATCAATTGTCATCTTAGGGGTCTTCTGAGAATAGGATTGTCACTGATGAGTGACGATCCAGGAGCACATTTCACTCAGCAGAGACAGTGTTATATACAAGAAGTAGGTGAAACAAAAATGACGGAAATAGCACAAAGAGAAACCTGATGACTTGTGAGAACTTTTCTTGAGGAAATTCATGGAAGAATGCAAAAGATACGTTGTCCAAAGTTGTGTTCAAAATGAGAAATTATTATATTTTTTTTATTACAACTTATCAAGAGAAAAATTGTAAAGCTTTTGTTCTTTTATTGGGTTGGTGAATACAAGAGGCTCCTTCAGTTTAATGGTTAAGTAGAGAGTGAAAAATACACAGCTTGCATTGGTATTACAACTTTACAAGTTTACAACCTGATAATATTTACTGTTATTTCACTTGACCACACTGTGCTATCTTCACTACAGATAATCAGTATCAAATGGACTCCTAATATCAGTCAAATGCGTTAATCAGAAAGTCGCGTGGTCTTTTATCTTTTATCCTCTTCGCCACTGATCGGCTCGTTAGCCGCTTGTTCGGTCAGTTACGTCTCTGATACGCACTGTTGACAGATATTGGGCATGCACTGGCTCCTGAATATATCGGAACCTGCAGCAGGTTCCGATATATTCAGGAGCCAGCGTTGGTCAACTCTGGCATCGAATGAGCTCACACTCGGTGCCGTTGTAGCAAAGGGCAGTGTATTGGGCCCGCTGTTGTTTGTTTGTTTCATAAATGACATGCCTGACGTTGTACACTCCTCCATACAAATGTTTGCCGATGACGCCAAGTTATTTCGGGAAATCAAGAACCAAGCAGACTGTGAAGAGCTGCAGAAGGACCTCTGTGGGCTCCAAGAATGGTCGAAGAAATGGCTGCTGAGATTCAATGTCACGAAGTGTAAGAGGATGCACCTGGGGCGTACCAACGGTAAGGAGGCGTATCATGTCCCAACGGGATGAAGAAATTGCACTATTTGAGAATGAATGTGTGGAAGGACCTAGGTGTGTATGTTGACAATGAGCAGAAGTTCTCGGGCCATTGTGAGAAGAAGGTAAATCAGGCAAATAAATTATTGGGTCTTATAAGAAGGTCGTTCAGATATCTAGACGGTCCGTCCCTCGTGACGATCTTCAGGAGTGAAGTGTTTCCCCATCTGGAGTACTGTCACCCCATCTGGTCCCCGAGATATGCTAGGGACTGTCAGTTGGTTGAAAATGTTCAAAGGAGGGCCACCAAACTGGTGCCTGCACTTCGGCACCTCAGCTACCCTGAGAGATTGGAGCGCCTGAACTTGCCTAGCTTATACTACAGACGGGCAAGGGGGGACCTAGTTGAGGTGTATAAGCATCTCAGGGGGCACTACTCAGTTGAGTGTCCTTACTTGGAGCTGGCGGACGCTCGCCCCACAAGGGGTCACAGCTCAAGATTGAAGAAGCCGCAAGTCCAGAAAACCGTGAGGGCAAACTTTTTCGGAGTGAGGGTTGTAAACTCTTGGAACAATCTACCAGAGAGTGTTGTGACGGCACCGAGTGTGAGCTCTTTCAAGAGAAGACTTGACCAACACTGGAGCGGGTTCAGGTACATTCAGGAGCCGGTGCATGCCCAGTATTTGCCAACAGTGCGTGACAGAGACGTGACCGATCGCCCGGGCGGCTAGCGAGCCGATCTTTTGGTGAAGAATATAAATGAAAAGAGACGTGACCGATCGCCCAAGCGGCTAACAAGCCGATCAGTGGCGAAGAGGATAAAAGTGAAGTAAAAGAAGATATTACGCAGCACATCCCAGATGAGAAGAGTTCCAGGGAGATGCCAAGGAGGAAATGACCGCAGGGGAGACAGTGACACAGACGGAAGCCACAAAACGGATGGAGAGACAAGCGGCAAGTTTAAACCCGGCCATTCATGGAACTAAAGAGAACGGCAACACAGAACTGTCATCATGAATAAAAGGGAGGGGAAGATGTACTCTTCCAAGCGTATAGTCATTGGAGTGTGTGTACTAGTATATGTGTGAGATGGTGTAGCCTATGTGTGTTAATTCCTGTTCTGTACATTTCAGGTATTGGTGCCTTCTGTATTGAGACAATAAACAGCAACAAAATCAAACAGTATATTACTGACCGACGGTGCACACAGTAAAGTCATAATCTTGACAGCTTTGTCCTCTTGCTCTACCTTATTACTGTACAACCCATGTTGTACTGTAGTGGATATTTCCCCTACAACTACAACTGCCGTTTGTCGCTGACTAGCCGACCCCTTTTCGAATTTCCCAGCCAACTCCTCATGGTCTAAGGTCGGCTTCTAGCGCCGCCTAACCAAGCGGAGGTCAACTATCAAGCCACGCCTACCTCCGCTATATAAGACCTCACCTCGCCGTGACCTGCCCCTTCTTCTACCTACAGTACAGCCACGCAGCAAGCAACACCTCTGAGCACGCTCCCGAACCAGCTCTCTCCTCCACGCTTGTAACCACGCTGCCTCTTCCCAGCACCAAGCTGCACTGTACATCCAAAAATCCAATACAATATATATACAGAGAGCGCATTGTGAATTTCCTTTCTCCAACCCATCCTGAGTGTGAGACAACATCTCGAAACTCCACAGTACTGCTCCCCCAAGATACTTACGTTTTTCAATTCCACTGTAATTTATGTATTTAATAATAAAAAATAAAATTAATAAATATTGAAGTGATAACCGTGGTAACATTATGAGATGTTCTTATTACCACCATGCTATTGTACTATTCCAGATGATACTAAATGTTACATAATACTTCCTTGAGATAAATGTATAGTATATATCAGGTGCCTAAAAGAGAGCTCAGGTTCTCAACTGGCTCAGCCGTGTTAATATTGTTATTATTATTCACTCTGTATCTGTGTAACTCTGGCTAAATAAACTGTTACAATTCAATTCAATCGAATGTATCCATTGACATCCAACCGCTCAAGCTGCTACCGTTGGATTTGTTTAACTCTGGCATATCGTTAGGCGCTGGGTAGTGTTAGCCACCTAGTGACATTAGCAGAACCCAGGTGTTACTACTGCAGTGGTTGGTGTTGTTGATGTGTGGATTAACCGTGTACCACCAGTGATATAATGCACGTGGGAGAGTTTCTTCTTATAGTTATCCAGCTGTTGAATAACGTATGGCTTGGAAGGACAGCAGGGATGGAGGTGACGCCCGCACAGCTGTTACTCCGTCGCAAAATTTTGGTGGTTTCCCTGGACGGCTTCGGACACGACTACCTGACCAAGTACCAGTGGCAGCACCTGAGTAATCTTTACGCTCATGGCAGTTATCCCTATAGGTTCAGGTAACTTGGTCAATTTTCGGTAAATTGGTATTGCGTTTAAGCATTCCACATTCCTACCACTAATCTATTATCATTCTAATAAGACGTCTAATTATAAGATCATTTTCATCTATTACACAACCGTCGCAAATGTATAATAACGGATATAGCAAATCCAAAATTTTCTCGATTTTCTTCCATTAATCTTCCGCCATTTATCGCCTGCCTCACCTCTCACACGTGTCTCCTTCATAAATCATCACGCGCATGCGTTCCCGTACACGTAACGCGACCAATCAAACCGTTTTTTTTGCAACCAATTTAGATGATTTTGGGTTTAATTTGCGGTATAATTGGCCCAATCAAATTCGAGTTTTATTTTGGGTCTCATATTTCAAAATTCAAGTTCAGTTCCGACTATGGAAGTCTGTGATGGGTGTCACTTAAATTATATGGAGCTGATTGCGAGTTTTGGCGAAGAAAACGAAGAAACTATAGTATTTTTTCGGTCCAACGAATTACCCAAAAGTACCCAAATGTACCCAAAAGTACCCAAAAGCATATTAAATCAGGGTAAAATCTTAACGAATATATGTTTTACATCAATAAAACCTGATTAATAATGTTTTCATTGAAATGTACAGTAGTCAAAATAATGAAATAAAAAACAGCGAAAAACGCTTAATTCCAAAGAGTCACCTATCCAAAATGGAGATATAATTACCGATGTTTCTGTTACTTTGGGATGTTTAACATAGCTGTAGGATTTACTTTTCGTTAGGTTAGGTTAGGTTAGCAAAGTGCATCACCATGGATCTGAGTTATCTCCCTTGTTCACGAACTTTTTGGAATTTAGCTTTCGCCAATACTGAAATATTTTCGCGGTTTATTATTTCATTTTACAAATTATTTTTACAAAATTACACTAAAAATATTATTAAACATGTTTTGTGTATGTATAACAGATATTCATTAAGATTTTGCCCTTATTTGCTATACTTTTGGGTACATTTGGGTAATTCGTGGCTCCCCATTTTTTCGATCACATGGTGTTCTTCCAACCTCAGTAGAGTGTACTAAGAGCAAGACAATGTTAATATTGCAAAGAATCTCAGAATCCAACGACGAACAAGAACCAGGCCAATAAGGTGGCAGCCACATTTGGGTTTGAACTATAGGATGGCAGTGTGTGAGGACGCAACTGTGCGTCAGTAACCCAGCTACAGTTGGTGATGGTGGAAATTACAGAAGTGTAGTGTTCGGTGATAACTCACCCATAATCGTCTGCTACTGTTCTTATGCGTGTCATAACAACAGATCCGTCACAAGTGAGTTTGAGCAGTTGTATTATTGTATTCAGAACCAAACCAATTTGGGAAGTTAACCACTTGATTATTATTTTTATTAATATGAGTTGAATACGAGGTATGATGGATACTGTTCGTGTGTTTGGCATTTACAACTGATACTGGGACATGTACTTCCAGATATGACCGAATAAACATTGTTGTGTTATACTGGACAAATCACATTCAAAACCCAACCTCACCCCATTCAGGCCATGAGCTGTTACTGTTGGTATTTTATTTGTGATTTATTAAAAAAAAATCCATCTTTTTCCGTTATGATTGTTGGGTGTGAAGGGAGGAGGGGGGTAATTAAAAAAAAAAAAATAGTGATTTCCGGTGGAATTGAATACCTGTATCAAATTTGTTTGAAACTCATGAAATACCAGAGGAAAAAACCCATTTTTAATATCAAAATAAAGACCAGCGCAATACTACCTACTCCGCTAAAAGTAAACAAGATATGGCGAAGCTTGTGACTGAGCGAATGTAATAATATTGAAAAATTAATATCTCTGTTATCTTTCATTTCCGGTGGAATATCATAAAAGAAAAATGTCTTAGAATTGTCTAAACATTACGAAATACATATTAATAACAGTGAAAGAAAGACTGGTGCAAGGCTATAAATTGACCAAAATGATTAAAACATTGGTAAATATTACTGGGCCACATAGCCTGTTGCATGTTAACAAAAACAGTTATTGGTGACTACTACTAGCAAATAGATGAGTAATGTGCATTTTAATTGCATTTTACATTGGTGATAAGACTGTTTGAAATTGCCACATGACTATCTGGCCAACCTTATCGAAGATATGAGCTATCTTAACACTGGTAAGAAGCACACTAGCTGCTGAGCACTGTGTAATGAGGGTAACTCAGGGTAGGAAGATAAAGTAAAGTAAGAATTTATAGTTGTAGGATTGTAAAGTGGGGACGTTGATGGCTGGGAAGGAGCTATTGGAGGAATCAGGCCAGAAGATTTCGTCACTAATTAACACTAATCTGGGTGTGTTGAGACAGCTGTTTGATCAGTTGTGTGGTGCAGGCTGTTGTGTAGTTTCTTTAGTTAACTCAGTCATGACGCCGGTTTGACTAATCACGCGGTGGTGAGAACTGTTTCATTGTGAGCGTGACTCCTGCTGGGTCAGGTCTTAATCTCACTTTAATAACGAAGGGTGGGTCAACTTGCGAGGGTGTACAGTACACCTGCGCTTCCGATTACTGATATATATGTTCTTCTCTGGGCTGTAGGCTATGGTCACCAGCTGCTGAGGACTGCCACCAACAACACCAAGCTTGCCCTTCAACTCAGCATGGCTTCTACAAGTTGTATTCAGTTTTGTTCCAGATGTGGCAAGGAAGTACGATCACGGCAGCAGGCTCTCTCCTGTGATTATTGCCATCAATGGAGACAGGAAGAGTGGCACAACCATCACTCAGGATATGTACAGGTAAATAGGCAAACATTTAAAGGAAGTGGATCACTTGCCTGGCACTGTCCAGAATGCCCTGCTACTGTTGACCTCCCCTTGGATGAGTCTTCTACTAGTGCTGACAATTCCTTCACAGTTAATTTTCCTATTGAGCCAGTCACCCCAGTACAAGAAACATCTCTTCAAGATGAACCGATCCCAGAAAACCTTCCAGAGGATCATCCAGTTACTTGGGAAGTTGTTCCCACTGGTACAAACCTTGGGAAGCTACTGTTGCACAGCTCTGATGGTTACACATACACAGTAACATACTGGACTTGCAGCATCCGCCAGAAGAATAACAAGTGTCCCCAGCAAGTGTAATTCAGCGAGGGACAACATTGAAGACAGGTCTACATGCTCACAACCACCCTGGAACACCAGGCCTTCTTGCTACAACAAAAGTATCTGTAGCTGTCAAAGAGCTATGTTCACTTGACAACTTTACCTATGCTGCTCAAATTGTTGAAGAAGAATCGACTAGCTACAAACAGAGCCACCTTAATGCCCACCAATTGCCTAAACCAAGCAGCATTGTCAAACAAGGTAACAGACATTGCCAAGCTCAAAGACCACACTACCCAACTCAGCTCAACTTTGAACTCATGTCTGACAGCCTGCCACCTGATTTCATTAGAACAGATATACAGATATGCAGTGATGATAACCAGACTACTGCATTAGGGTGTGTCATACGGAGGCGAATTTTTTTTTTTAGTTTGAAAAATCGGCCCATGGTATTAATGATGTAGTTCTATGTGCAGAATCATGTGATATCTTCAGATTTGAAAAGTTTTCATTTTTTGCTAGGTAAATTTTAACTTGAAATCTTATGAAAATTCAGTATTCCCACCCTTTTACCAACACCACTAAATAGCTTATTTAAAGTAAAGTAAATGTATCAGGTTAATTTATTAGGATGAAAATGATCCAGAATAGTGAATGATCTTGAATGATCTTGACACATTTATTAAATTTAATATTCCTTTAGAAAACAAAATCATCAAATACAAAAACCGGTTTTACTACTACGACCCGGTGTTGCTGCACACCATAGAGAACATGTCTTTCTTGCTTCTGTTTCTACTCATCACCTCCCTGCTGACCACCTGAGCTCGGATGTAGCCTTCCCTCCTCTCCTGGCTGTACACGTGACTGCTGGCCTCGCTCACTTGCTGTACACAACGCTCTATACTCTGGGTGTGCGAGGGCCAGGCAGGGACATGCATGGGGTTGTCCAGGAAAGCTCTGACTTGAACATTTGTGAGGCTGCAGGTAAGAGGGGGCTCACTGCCAGCCTGGATGTTTTCCAGATCTATGAGATCAGTGAGGGTCTTGGCACCTAGATTGACTTCAGGAGTCTTCCTGACCCTGAAGGAATCGTCACCAACTGATTCGTCATGCCCAGATCCTCTCATAAGTCTCATATCCAAGATCTTTTTGACTGCCACTCTTCTCTCCTCCTCATCCTTACTGCAGAGCATTGTCTGCAGAACTGCCTCGAGATGAGCATACCAGGAAGATCTCCTCACAGTCTGCTCCACAATCTGAACAACCTTCCTTGGCTGACTCCTCAGGAGCTCAAGCTGGAAGAGAACATGCCTCGGACCTTCGGAGAACGATGACTTGACCTTGGTGTTGAACCAATTTGGCAAGTAGACACTCACGATGAATTGGACAATAAGTCTCAGGTTGTGAAGCTGGTTCCCTTTCAGTTTATGATGAGCGACCCAAATTCTGCAGAACCTGAGAGCCGTTGTGAGCCACCTAGAATGTGAGACTGGACCTATCTGCAGGTAAGCAAGTCTATCAGGCATGACCCCAGTTTTGATGGCACTGCAAATCATGTAACCATAGTACTGGTCAGTACTCAGGTCGTCAATGACAGTATGTGCAAGCTCAACGAGTGGAGGGCCAACTGTGATTTTTTCAAAGCTCGGATTTATTTCTAACTCAGTGGCGAGAGTCCAGCATCTTGCCAAGAGGACCAGACCATCTGTTGTTTGAAAGAGTCTTGCCATTCAGCTCCTGGATCAGATGTCTGAGTGGCAACTCGTTGGTGTGGAGGTCACAAACAATCCAGACCAGCTTCCTCCCAATCTTCCGCTCTATCCACTGTATGACCCCCCCTTGCCACCCTGTGTTCGTGTTGGTGCTGTCCCCTCCAATGGCCTGCAGGGTCTGGTCTACGTTCCTCTCTCTGAGCCAATTCACAATGTTATCTGCCACTATCTCAGCTGGTTTCTGATGTCATCTTTCTCTGGAGTGAAATGCCACAAATACTTCCCTCCTGGTTCACTGCAGCAGGAGTAGTGTTCCTCCTTCACCATGGCAGGGAACAACTTGTCAGGATCTCCAACTTTCATGAACACTTTAGTGTCATCCCTTCTCCCATCAAAGAACAAACAATTGATTCCATTTTCTCTTATCCCCTTATCAAACTCCTCTTCTAGGTTACTGACAAGTTTCTCCTGAGCTCTCCTTACTTTGTTATGATCTACCACCAGGTGAACATCATCAGGTGTTATCAAACCACCGTCAACCCAGGCAGCTGTTGCTATCTCTGCAGTTTCTCTGAGACCAGTGTGGTGTCGCATGCTGGCCAGAGCTATGCTCGGGATATCTTTCCTATTTCGAATGTTATGCCTGGAAGGTTTGGGATCATTATTTTTTGGGTTAGGGACAAAGTCACCATTCTCCTGGTCAGCACTCGGATCAGCCATGGGGAAGTCATTAAACTCTGAATCAGCTTGACTCCAATCATCGGCCTTTTTTACCTCACCCTGGGCCTTCTCAAGCCTCTTTTCCTCGGCAACTGTTCTCCTCTTCTGTCTCTCTGTGGCAGCCTCCTGTCTCTTGGACTCCGGAATATCTTGGCTAGAAATCTGGCAGAGCCCTATACTGCCAGTCTTCTCTCTCTGTGCTTTGACAAATGCCAGTTCGATCCCAGGAATCTTCCAGTTCACGCTTGCAAATACAGGAGATGTGGGCCTCCAGTTTACAGTCACGATCGCATCAAACTCAGGACAGAGAACAATTGGGCACTTGCAAGTAATTATGTCAAACAACTGGTCCAGTTGCTTGCTTAAACTGTCACTTAACTGCAAAGTTTTCCTCTCCCAAAGAGAATATCTCTTGCCTTTTCCCAACAGCTGTAGTCTCTCACTAATCTTCTTCTGACTTGTTATGACTGGAGGCTTGAACTGGCGTTAGCCAGAGTGTACTGTGCCAAGACAGCTTTGAGGTCATATCACTGGCAATGTCTTTGTTTGTGTAAGTTCTTTGGTTTCTTTCACTGATTTGCCTGATTAAAACACCGTATCTCAAAGCATCTCTCAATGTAGGCAACTCCGACTTCAGGAGCTCTCTCCCAGACCCAAGATAGTGACTGAGATGGCTGGATTTTTGGTTCCTCGTCCTGACACAAGCAGCCATCGCAAATATTATCAACTTATAAATGCATCAGAATCTGAAACAGAAAAAATATTGTTAGTTGGGTTGTTAAAGAATGAAGTCAGAAAGCAATGTTCACTATTTAATTGTAATGCACTAATGCAGCTGTACGTTAGATTTTCGATAAATTTCACGCTAAAATTTACCTAGCAAAAGGTTGCAAAATATTGAAACTGAAATTATTTTCTGTTTATATACACTAAAATCTACCAAAAAAGTGATGGGCCATTAGTTTTAGCTGATCTTCCCTCCTATGACACACCCTACTACTGCATGCCACATAGTTATGGCCACCGATAATCAGCTTCACCTTTTAAGATTGCAAGACAGTGGTATGTAGATGGAACATTTAAAATAATTCGAAAACCATTTTATCAGTTACTGACCATACATGTCTTCCTTAAATCACAAGACCATGCAAAACAAGTGCCTCTGGTCTTTGTTTTAATGAGGGGAAATATCAGGAAGACTATGCAAAAGTGTTCCAAGCCATCAAGCAGTTGTTAGTGTTAGACCCAGAAGTTGAAGAAGTACTAATGGATTTCGAATTGGCTATGTGGAATGCAGTCAGAGAAGTTTTACCATCTATTCATTTGCATGGCTGCACTTTTCACTGGGCTTAAGCTGCCTGGCGCAAAGCACAACAAATTGGCCTAGCAACTGCATATATGGAACGTGGCACAGTACAGTATATGATCTTGTACGTGAACTCCTAGCTCTCCCCTACTTGCCTAAATGCCACATCAGACCAGCATTTGAAGAACTGCAAGAAAAAGCACAACAGTCAGAACTCGTTAAGAAACTCACTGATTATATGAGCCAGTCATGGCTTAACAACAATGTCTGGTCAGCCGGTAATAGGTGTGGTTTCCGACGTCTCGTTAGAACAAATAACATTTAGGGATGACACCAGCGCATAATCCACTGAGCATCAAAGAACAATCTCGCTCTATACCTCCTTGTCCCTCTTCTTCACAGAGGTCTCAATGGTTGATTTGCAATTACAAATAGTTGATGAGCACAAGCTAAATTAATGCACAAGAAAAGCAAATCATGACAAACAAGTCCATCTCTGGAAGCTGTGGGATGAGTATGAAGAAAAAAATATCACCACTTATAATTTCCTAAAAATTTGTCAGTCTCTTTTTCCAAGCTTGCATGAGTATTAACAATGTTTTATTTTTTTTTAAATTTTATTCTTTCACATATTGTTTAAGTGAGATGATTGCAGGTGTATTAACAATGTTTTTATTTTTGTTTCGTTTTAGTCTTTAATAAATTATTTAAGAGATGTTTGCATGAGTAATAACATTTATATTTTTTATTTTCATCTTTAATAAATTGTCTTCGTGAGATGCTTGCATGCTTCAATGTATTGTTATGCTGAGGCATAATTTCGTAATACCTGTACAATTTTGTAAACTAGGTGTTTTGATTAATTTTTATCCCAAGCAACAGTTATTTTCGTGTATGCAGTATATTGATGTATTAATAATGTAAGAATTTTCTGGAATGTATGGCCCTTG